CCACATGTTTGATTAAAAATTCTTACATTTTCAACTACACATTCTTCAATAAAATAATATTTTTCAACGCATCAATAACTTTTTCTTCTTTTCCAACCACACATTTTCATCAATCTACTGTTCCAAAATACATTTTTCTAAAATAATGTGGCTCAAACACACCCTTAATGGTAATCTAGAGTTTTTTTTTTAGTCGATTATTAATGAATTTAGTAAGTTTTTGTGTTTTATAATGAAATTGGAAAAGAAAATGTGATGGTGTCAGTGTTTTTGAAGAGTTCAAACCTAAAGCCTTGAGGAGTAAAAAGAGAGTTGATAAGTGAACTTCGATGTATCGGATGGCAGAGAGTGGACTAACCTCTGTTTGATAGAAATTAAAATTAGATTTGTAGTAGATTTTAAGAAAAGCTGCTGAAATGTGTGTTTGAAAAGTTATGGATCTCATGAGATATGTGATTATAATTAAATGTTGACTTTGATTTAAATTAAAATAAAGAGATGCTTAGTGTAATAGAGTTTTTGCTTGAGCAAGAATTTCTTTGCTAAAGCGAGAAAATTCGGAGTAGAAGGATTTTTTGGATGGATAGTCTTTATTAAGAAGAGATTTTGTCGCTTGAGGAGGAAAATTTTGATGGAGCTACGTGGATTTTTCACTCAAGAAAGGGGAGGCCAGAACTCGATTTTCTAGCTGATGTGCAAATTTTAAGACAAAAATGGTACTCTTGGCAAGAAATTAATATATAACATCTACACTATATATAAGGAGAAATAATTTGTTAAGTAACAATGACATGACACATCAATTCATTGGTTAATAAGAAATTTAATTCAAATATTAAGACTCATAGTAAACATATTCGTCTTTATGTGCCAAACACTCATGCTTAGAAAATCGTCTCTCTTTATACATTAACATATTACCTATGAAAAGAGAGACCGAGAAATATAGCTCATGTCAGATAGATATTCAAATTAGATTTTTAACAGATTTTGATAGAATGTGTTGTTGAAAAATTGTGAACCATACGAAATGTGTGATTAGAATTAATTGTTGACTTTGATTTAAATTTTAATCAGATTTTTTTAGGGTACCAAACATGGGCATAGTAAAAACATAATTCTACATCAAGGGTTCAAGAAAATTAAAGGAGAATGGGGAATAAAAAATTCATTAAAAAAAATTATCACATGGCCTTTTTAATTAATAAAAAAAAAAAAAACTCTTCCTTTTTCTATTTTGGGACCTACTACTTTCAACGTATGCAGAATTAATATTATACACAAACAAGGTACTGCATATCTAATTTCTTTACAATATATAAAAGAGGAAACTTTCTTACTATTCATATGACATCATGCTTACATTTTGATGATATCACAAAGCACTAAATTTTTTTTACCCTTTTTGCCCAGCTTTTCCCCTCAACTGTTTCTCTCTCTCTAGCCATTTGTAGTGTCTTTTTTCCTCATTTCTTGTACGCTTTTTTCTGTCTCTTTGTCTACGCCATTTTTATCACTTTGAAACCGTAAACAATTTTACGGGTTTTCTCCATTTGAAGTGTAAAATTAAGTTG